CTTTTTTTTTTTTTTTTTAAGATTTCATTTATTTATTTGACAGGCAGAGATCACAAGTAGGCAGAGAGGCAGGCGGAGAGAGAGAGAGGAAGGGAAGCAGGCTCCTTGCTGAACAGAGAGCCCAATGTGGGGCTCGATCCCAGGATCCTGGGATCATAACCCGAGCTGAAGGCAGAGGCTTTAACCCACTGAGCCACCCAGGCGCCCCAACACAAATGCTTTTTAATAGCAAACTACTTGGGGGGAAAATGTATTTTGCTTTAGCATGTCATTTCAGACTCAGGTTAGTCTAGGAATTTGAATGATGTTCCGGAATTTCATTGTCCTTTTAAGTGAAATGATGATATCCCCTGTGAAGAACCCTATCAGGGGCTATTAGAAGGCATTCCCAGTCCCCAGTGTCCTTGTCTCAAGCTCACCACTTGCTGTTGTCCCCTCCTCTCTGTCGTACTCACTTCCATGTCTTTTACTTTCCCTCTCCCTTCCTTGCCCAAACACTCCATTTCCAGGTGAAGGCTAAAGAGGAAGTAGTGATGTCCTCAAAGGGGGTCAGAACAAAGTAGCGTGGTCTTTGACAAAAGCTTCACTGTGGAGAACATAGGAGAATTGTGCTGTGCTTGGGAGATCACAATCGACATTGCTCTGGGTGGTAGTGAAAATGCTCTATGCGCCCGAACAGGGAGAGTAGGCAAATTCATGCATGGAGAAGCCAGAAATAGGTTGGGGCTGGAGGCCCTTGAGCTTCCTGCCACCCTTGTCGCCAAGCCTCAACCTGTCATTCTGTCGCTCCTAAGGGGAAGTGACCGACTACCTCTCTACAGCATTCCCTGGACTAACTACCGACTGTAAAAGTGTGCTGAAAATAGCCTTTGCTTTTTTTAAGTCTCCAAGCTGTAGCTCATCCTCTATACTAACATTTGCCGTCAGTGAGTGGATCACTTTTTCTCCACAGGGGCGTGTCCTATGTTACATTTTAATATAATGAGTGATTACATTTTTAATATAATGAGTGATTATTGCTAGATAATAATAATTGCTAGATTATAGGATACTCAATAATTTAAGGAGACTATAAATTTTTGTATAACTACCTGAGAATTCAAGGACATTGATGAGTAATGAACCTCAAAGTGAACCAATATTTGAAAGAAGATCTTAAAATAGTAAATGAGCAAGTAGAAATTTTTTACACCTGTCTAAAGCAGTTTTTTTTACGATTTTATTTATTTATTTGACAGATCACAAGTAAGTAGAGGGGCAGGCAGAGAGAGAGAGGAGGAAGCAGGCTCCCCGCCGAGCAGAGAGCCCAATGCGGGGCTCAATCCCAGGACCCTGAGATCATGACCTGAGCCGAAGGCGGAGGCTTTAACCCATTGAGCCACCCAGGTGCCCCTAAAGCAGTTTCTGCCCACTCTTCACATTGCTTATCCGCGGAAAAATCGTTTAACTGGTTTTATAAATTATATGTATTAGTCTAACCTAAGATTTTTTTGAATAAATGGACAAGAAGCAGGGGAGCTGGCAGTGATCCACAAATAATTCACGCTACGCATGCTTCATCATGTTTCTCAAATACCAGTGATGTAGAAAGCCAGGTATTGATTTTAGAGAACAAAATTTAATTATTCAAGTAAAAACTGAATTATAAAGAGCTACTATATGCACCTAACTGAGAAAGTTTAGCATTGAGTCTCTTCCTTGAAAAAGATTCTTGGGGCACCTGGGTGGCTCAGTCAGTTGAGCATCCGCCTTTGGCTCAGGTCTTGATCTTGGGGTCCTGGGATTGGGTCTCCCTGCCTGCTCAGCAGGGAGCCTGCTTTTCTCTCTCCCTCTGCCCCTCCCCCATGCTTGTGTGTGTGCTCTCTCACTCTCTGTCAAATAAAATCTTTGGAAGGAAAGGGGTGAGGGAGGAGAAGATTCTAAACTCTTGAAGCCTGTAGACGATAAAAGAACACGGGGGTGGAGGGCACCTGGATGGCTCAGTGGGTTAAAGCCTCTGCCGTCGGCTCAGGTCATGATCCCGGGGTCCTGGGATTGAGCCCCACATCGGGCTCTCTGCTCAGCAGGGAGCCTGCTTCCCCTCCTCTCTCTCTGCCTACTTGTGATCTCTCTCTCTGTCAAATTAAAAAAAAAAAAAATCTTAAAAAAAAAAAAAAAGAACACAAGGGATTTCTGAGCAGAAAGACAACCCTGCCTCCTGAGTCTAGCCCTCTGGTAAAACTTCATAGGATGTGTGTGGTTTTTATCAGGACTCCTTGGCCTATACAACACCTTCCTGGGAATTAGAAAAGATATCACTCAGAACATCCCCATAGTGGCAGAGCATGACCCTTTGTGGGCATAAAAGGCCACTGGTGATGGGACAGCTGCCCAGTGAGCAGAGCTCAGGCTGGGTCTCAGCCCCACTCAATCTTTGTGTCTGGTGTCCTTTGTGCAGTATTCCAACCGCACAACCTTCCATAGCACAGAGACCAGGTTCTTTGTGCTGCCTATCTGCAGATTATGTTCACTTAAGAAAAAAAAACAAGACTTGATTTCATGGAATCATCTCATTGAGAAAGAAGAATAAAACTAGGAGAAGGTAGGGACGCCTGGGTGGCTCAGTTGGTTAAGCAGCTGCCTTCGGCTCAGGTCATGATCCCAGCGTCCTGGGATCGAGTCCCACATCGGGCTTCTTGCTCAGCAGGGAGCCTGCTTCTCCCTCTGCCTCTGCCTGCCATTCTGTCTGCCTGTGCTTGCTCTCTCTCCCTCTCTCTCTCTCTGACAAATAAATAAATAAAATCTTAAAAAAAAAAAACTAGGAGGAGGTAGAATTAAGCAGTCTATGCAAAACATCTGTGCTTCCACTTACAAAAGGGGGAATCTGGTGGACAGCAGGTGAGTGACCCTCAAACAGTAGAATGTCGGTTTGGATGCCAGAATTCCAGCCCCAAACAGAGAAAATATTTTGCTTACTTTCTCACTACCCACTCCTGCCTTTGCAGCTCTTTGTTCTAGGACTGCAATTCCAACAGTCTTGCCACCCTACTGGGACCTTTGATCTATTGATCTCATGGCATTTTTATAGTCCTTCACCCATAAGTCTTCTCCTTACCCTGCTTAAATTCCAGGAAGTCACCATCATTCTTCCTTCACATTTATCTTCAACTCTTGCCTCTTGGCATTGCCTCTTCTTACTGTTTTAGCGAAGCCACAACCCTGGTTAGATTTCAACTCCCGCTGGGTATATGTGCCCACACAATTGAGCAGTGGCTAGAGAAATGCAGTCCACAGATAGCCCACTTTCTATTCATGACCACTAACCTCAACTGGTCTTCCATGCTGCAATCATACTAAAATTCTCTAGTCCATTCCCTCTCCCATTCGGCTGACTATGTTACATCTCTGTCCCCAGGAAAATGAAGCTACTGGAAGAGAACCGCCCCCCCACGTTACCACCACCTCCTCCACCCACCTAAGACATCTGTCCCTCCGAATGCTACTTTCCCTCCTTACTATTATTGAAGGATACTTTTTTGAAACGTAAAATCCTGATCCTCATGCAAATATAAGATAAACATGTGCCAAAAATTTTACTTTATTCATTAAGGAAGGAACTAGCAAACTGTTAGAAACAATTCAAAGAAGACTTCCTAAAAGACACATATATGGGTACCAAGGCGTGCCAAAGTGAATGTAATAGATGCAAAATAATTGCTCAATAGTTTCAAAATTAGCCTCTTCAGCAGAGGGGGGAAAGCAATTGTGCCTCCATCGGACAAAATTCATTTGTATGTCTGTGGAAACTATTTGCATTCCTATCCATTCTCTATGAATTG